CCAATAACCATCCCTGTTAAGGTGCAAAGGCGGCTCCCCGAGACATTTGGAAAGGGCCCCTCCGGGACCCCCTTGTGAAATCTGTGCTTGTCTCCACTATTACTACTTTATACTAGAAACTACAAATTACTTCATTTTTCCCGATCTCCATACAAATATAAAAGATGAAGCTATTCCAACCCCATATAATCTAATTATACTACATTACAGTGCTGGAGATCATTTCTAAGCCCACATCTGCATTCCCACCTCTACTCCTCTCCCTACGTGACTCAGCTTCCTCCGGCCAAGGGAAATCTCCAAGTGCAGCTAAAGCTTTTTTCTTCTTGCACTAAAACACACATAATTTAGGGAAAACGGGGACAAGACAGCAAATTAAACAATATTAGTGTTTACATGGCTATTATACACTGTGCCCAAATGCTTGAAAATCCTCTCTCACCTTCCAGGAGCTCACCCGGCTTTCCAAGCAGCACCTAGTTCACAACCAGGTTTTTTCTTTAATGCCCCCTTTTACCCATAAAATCAGAAATCTGGTAATGGGAGCCCTTGTCCAAATCTCTGCACTGGCAGGACTCTGGCTGGATCTTATTATTTCTTCATAAAGAGCGAGGAGAAGTGAACCCTCCTCAGCAATATCCGGGTTCAGGTGCCAGGTATGACACATCCCACTCATCCCCACCGCTGGACAGCAAATTAGCTAAAAACAGAAGGAAGGTGCTGACGGTGACAGGAACAGCTGATTCGCTTGTAGTGTTTTAGCTGTTGTGGATAAAGTGCAGAGGAAAGAGGATTTAAAGGTATGTGGGGTGCTGGGAAGGTTAAATGGGGGGGTGCAATGAACACCACACCAAAAACAGCTTCAGCTGACAGGTTTCTGCTGGGGTTTCTTATGGACTGGGTGGCAATTGGGGTGCAATATTTGTTCATGACGCGCTCAAAGGGTGTGAACAGCCTGGCAAGCGGGTTCCAGAAAAGCAGTGAGGGGCTAAAGGTGAGATAAGGAGCAGAAAAGGCAAGTCCTGCAGGACCCCAAGTGCTGCACATACTGCCTGATTCCACACCCGGATGGCTCCGAGAACACCCTCTGCAAAGT